ATGCAGGGATTATCCAACCTAGCACAAGCTCCTACGCCAATCCCGTGTTGTTAGTAAAGAAAATGGATGGGAGTTGGCGATTCTGTGTTGACTTTAGAGCCTTAAATAGCATTACCATACCCAACAAGTTCCCTATTCCATCAAATTAGAGTTAAAGAGGAGGACATTCCAAAGACAGCCTTCCACACCTACGAGGGCCATTATGAGTTTTTGGTGATGCCCTTCGGGTTAACGAATGCACCATCTACCTTCTAGGCCCTTATGAATATAATTTTTCGGCCATTATTACAGAAGTTCATTCTTCTTTGACGATATTCTCATCTACAGCCTTGACATGACTACCCACATTCAACACTTGCAACAAACTTTCCAGATTTTGTAGGATAATGCACTGGTGGTCAACCAAAAGAAATGTCTTTTTGCTCAATACAGGTTAGAATATCTGGGCTACTTAATATCAGCCTAGGGGGTGGAGGCTGGACCGCAGAAGATTGAAGCAATGATATCTTGGCCTGTACCGCACAATTGGAAAAGCTTGAGAGGGTTTTTAGGGCTTATGGGGTATTATCGGCGGTTTGTGAAAGGTTATGGTTCCATAGCTCAGCCACTTACCCAATTATTAAAAAAAGATTCATTTAGCTGGGGTGATAAAGCTCAAGGGGCATTTGACAATCTTAAGACTGCCATGACCACTGTGCCCATTTTAACGATACCCAATTTTGAGCTTCCATTTGAGATTCAGACAGATGCTTCAAGGGCTGGAATGGGTGCTGTTTTAGTACAGAATGCTAGGACTATTGCTTCTTCAGTAAGGCTTTCTCACTTCAATCTCGGATTAAGTCAGCCTATGAACGGGAACTTATGGCTAGTGTCTTTGCCATTCGTAAGTGGAGTCATTATCTCATTGGCTGCAAATTTATCATCAAGATGGACCAACGAAGCTTACAATTTCTTATGGACCAAAGGGTTAAAACGCCAGATCAGTACAAGTGGATTTCAAAGCTCATGAGATACTTATTTGAGATTCACTACCTTCCGGGCAATTCTAACAAGGTGGCTGATGCCTTGTCCCGAAGAGAGGACACAAGGGAACTCATTGCCATTACCATAGTTCAGTTCATGGATTATGATGCTATAGCAGCTGAAGCACAAGCTGATCCTAAGTTACAAGTTATTGTTCAAGACCTTCTTTTCGACCCCAATAGTAGTCCTCACTACCAACTCCGTAAAGGTTGTTTATTGTTTAAAAACAGGTTGTCCTCACTAAAAACTCCCCATTCATTCCTAAACTACTGGGGGAATTTCATTGTAGTCCGAGTGGTGGCCACTTTGGCTTCTTTCGGACTTATAAAAGAATTGTTGCTGTTGTGTTTTGAGAGGGTATCAGATGGGATGTGCTAAAATTTGTTCAGACATGTGCCACTTGCCAAGTTAACAAACACTCTTCACTCAGACCTACAGGGTTGTTATAGCCCCTTCCTATCCCAACCTAAGTGTTTGATGATCTTTCAATGGACTTCATAGGTGGTTTGCCTAAGGCCAAAGGTTTTGACACTATTTTTGTGGTGGTCGATCGTCTCACAAAATACTCTCATTTCCTATTGTTACCCCATCCTTACACCGCCAAAGATGTCGCTAATGAGTTTATACGTGAGGTGGTAAAACTTCATGGCTTTCCACAATCTATTGTTCCTGATCGCGATAGGGTATTCATGAGCCAATTTTGGCAAGAATTGTTTAAATCAGCAGGCACATCTCTTAAATTTAGCTCCGCCTACCATCCTCAAACAGAGGTGGTTAACCAGTGCTTAGAGGCCTATCTGTTAGAGTAGATGCCCTAGAGCCAATCAATTATTGTAGAATTGACTCTTTGTAATAATGTTCATTAATCAATAAAAGGCATTTTATTCTATATCGCGTAAATCATTATTATTGCAATATGTTTTTATATATGTCCTTAGAATGGTAGAACCGTGACGAGGGTATCAAGTGTTTCAAATGTTGATAGTGAGAACCCTATGAGCACATATGGTGGCCATTCTAGAAACGTCCGTAGCTCTAGTATTATTCTGAAGTAAGGGCACAGATAATACGGTAAGGCTATCATAGTGTTGAACGACCCTGTCGAAAGGCAGTGACTGATCTCACTTGTCAAGGTTGTTTGGTGACAACCTGGTGCAACACATGGGTGCTTGTTGTAGGCGGATATACCGCAGCAAGTTCACTGGACTGACCCACCAGAGGATTCCATATGGATGGTAACCCCAGTGTCTATGGAACAAATCCTCTAACGAATGGTGGTGCATGTGATCCTTAGACTTGAGATCACCGGAGCGCCTTGTGCACCGATTGGTACAGTTTGACACTAGCCTAACGCAGTTCTATTCAGAGCTGTCAGTACGGTGGTGATTGGCTATATCAAGGAGTGTATCAAGACTATGGTGGATTGACAAAGGATTCATCACTCCCGGGTACGGGAGAAGTTATCTCACGGCGCAATTCAGTATATGGCAATGACACTAAAACTGTGGCCACAGTGGGATTGAGTTGTTGCTCTATCCAGATTATAATACGGGTCATTGGTCCAGAAACTGAATATATAATATCGAGAGTAACCGAAGGTTGACACTATTTCTATGCCTTCGTCTCGTCGAGATAACGTATGATGAAAGGATCGTATTGTACGGTAACCATATCGTTGACAGGTAGCTACTTTGCTGAATCCGAATCTATCGGGTGGCCATGATGCCTTGCTAGGGGCCAATCTTGGTCTGTGTATTAGTGAGACGATTAATTGGTGTTAATCGCGATACTATACACTACCGGTATGATGAGGAGCCTATGGGTCACACACATAGAAGATAATTTAAGAGCCAAGAAGAAAGAAGGGCGTTTTCGTCTTTTTAGGCGAAAGGGTATTTTGGTAATTTCACAGTGCAATTAAATTTGCTGAGGTCGTAGCCTTTATTTAATTTGTTAGAAAAATTAAATAAGTGAAATTACGTTTAAATGTGTGTTCGCACATATTTAAATATATTATCATTATTGTTAAATGTTAATATATATTTAAATATATATTAATTGATTTTAATTGAGATAATGATGGAAAATAAAATAAATCAAATTGGGAGTGTTTGGCAACATGGGGCGTTTGGGTTGGAGCCCAAGCCTATTCCGTATGGGATTAGGGCAACTTGATTATTTTACTATAAAAAGAAAAGTGTGTGTTAATTAATAAGTAGAATTGATTTTTCCTTGAAAAATAACACACACAGCAGCCCTCTCTTTTCACTCCCACGGTAGAAACACTCTTAGCCTAAAATCAATTTCAATTGATTTGTTTTTCTTCTTAATCTTGGAGCCAAAGAGGATCTAGCAAATCCCTCTTTGGTTCTTTTGAGATTGTCTTCGTGTGGACTACGCAGGTTCGATCCTACACTTGGATTGGTAGCAAAACGTTCAAAGACAATAGTGGTGGAGCCTCCAAACGTGCGTATGGTTTCTAAACACAGATTATTAATTTCTGCAGATTCTTGCTTTAATATGAATTGTAAAATTATACCCTTGATCTTGGCTCATGTAAATGATCCTTGTATTTTATTTTATTTGTTTCTGCTGCGTATACGGGACCGTTTACTAACACTATCTCCCTTGTTTTTGCAGTTCCCAACCTCGATAGTGGCCCAAATGGTTAGCGTGGGTTGAGTTTTGGTACAACAGTACGTACCACAGCTCCACCAAAATGACCCCCTTCAAGGCTCTATATGGCAGGGACCCTCCCATTCTTTTAAAACTCACTGACTGCCCCTCCTTGATTGAAGATGTCAACCGACAGATTAGGGACAGAAATGCCATATTGGAAGAACTCAAGCATAATTTGGCTGTAGCCCAAGATCAAATGAAGCAGTTTGCGGATTCACACCGTCGGGATGTCTTTTTTCAACCCGGGGATTTAGTATATTTGAAGCTCCAGCCGTATCGGTTTCGATCCTTAGCTAGGAAGCTCAATGAGAAGTTAAGCCCTCGCTTCTATGGCCCCTTTAAGGTGTTAGACAGAATTGGTCCAATGGCTTATTGATTGGACCTTCCCCCTACTTCTCGCATCCACCCGGTGTTTCATGTTTCCCAACTTAAACCAAGTCTACATTCTTCCGTCCCTGTTCAACAGCTTCCCTCTTTTTTAACTGAAGACTTAGAACTACAAGTGCAACCTGAAGTTGTCCTCTCCACTCGCAAGTTGCTGGATGGTTCTCTGGAAGTTCTGATTAAATGGCAGGACCTCCCACCATTTGAAGCCTCTTGGGAGGCTTATGACGTGATCTTGCTGCAATTCCCAGACTTTCACCTTGGGGACAAGGTGGGTCTCGAAGGCAGGGGTATTGATAGGCCAACTAAACTGTACAAGAAGAGGAAGAAAAAGGCCAGCCTGGGAAATTCAGTGGAAAGGGGCAGAAAGGGGAATTCAGATTAGAAATTAGTTAGGAGGAATCTCCACGTAAGGGAGTGCAGAGTGTGATTTCAGTTATATATAAGCGAGAGCAATAGCTAGCTGAGCATATCATGAAATCTAGAATCAGTTGGGAGGCCGTTAGACCTTCGAAGTGCTAGCCACCCTTTTTATTTTTCTCTGTCATTATTATTTTCTACTTGCAGTGTTTGGCCATTTTCAATTCAATATATATATTAGTTTAGTTCCCAGTTACAGAGATGTGTTGCTGAGTTTTCACTAATAGCATTTTATTAAGCATTGGGTTGTGTTCTCATCACAGTTGTTTTTGACTCACCAAAAGCTGAAAACAATTTCCAATACGAGAAGAGATGTTAATTAAACATTGAAACTTGAACTCTGTACAAGTCTACAAGATATCCGGAGATGAAATTAGATACAATAACTTACAACTCAAATAAGTCAATGCACCAATGAATAAAACGTTCAAGAGAAGAAAAAATCCAAAACCAATACTTATGGGTGAAGAAGCCTCTAGCCTTAAGAAGTGCTTACCCAACTGTAGGCACATCAATGCTGGTGTCATTGTTGGGCTGCATGAGATTGTAACTTATAAGATCTTTTTGATGAATTAAGGACAGGAAAACTAGATACACCATAGTTTAGCTAAGTGAAAATTGCAATGCAAATAAAAAACAAGATGATCAAAGCATAATAGAACTTACTGTGTCCCATCTTTTATCAAGAAACTCATTCATAACTAGTGCATTCTGTCCATACATCATAGGAGACATATAGTAGCCCCACATCATCCATGGCTCAAGGTCATCTTCAGGAAAAAAAAAGCTAAAGATTTTTAAAATGAATCATTGCTTAAGGAAAAAGTATCCCTAGCAATGAACCTAATTATTTAGTAATATTTACCGTCCAATACTGGGCATAATAAATTGGATTATAAACGGTTTTGCTTAAAAAATAAATTAAAATGGCAAAAAGGGTTAAATTCTCACTTTTGGAAATAATAAATCCTCCAAGCAGAAAAACCATTAGCAAGGTGAACGTACCCAGCAACTTTGATACAACTTCTGTTCATCCAAGAGCAGCAATGAATCGAAAGAGGGACAGAGCCATCTGATGTACACCAAGTAATGCCAAGAATTGTCGTAAAAACCTACAGAAGAAAAAATAAAAGAATTATTAGCAAAAGAACTCTAGTAGCTGATCTAGTTCTAATTACAGGTATGACAAAACCCAAAACACAGAAACAATAATTACAAAATATAGCATCAATAGTTTTCAACAGGTGATTATTATGGACTGAAGGGAACTAGATGAATTGCTTTACCTGCTAGGAGAGGGAGCAAAACCGAGAGTGAAGTATGTCAGAACGATCCATATAGCTAACTCCATAAACGATAAAGGGATCCTAAGAATCCATATAGGTAAAGAAAAAGTCAATGCAGGATAGAATAAGTGATCCCTTTGTTTATAGAAGAAAGGAAGCTTCATAATAGTCATTGAAAGTTCCGTCATCCCATTAAACATCACATTAACTAAACTGAAAAACAATGCTCCAAAATACTTAGTTCCACCAAAGAAAGTGTGTTAGACCCCCCATACATAAGGTCTATAAATCTAAGGGTAGGGGAAGGAATAAGAAAAGGGACACGTGAATATGGGTTTGTTACAAAATGGTGAGGTGGGCATTAAGGGTTGTTAGGATTGATGATGAGTTTGTTAGGAGTTTGTACACCTGGCTGTCATAAGGGGTACAGATTGGAAGAAGTAGCTTATAAAAGGGAGAGTATGTGGGAGAGTAGGAATCAAGTAATATTTTCTCTGGAATTATTTGGGAGGTCCCCAGTTCCTCGAACTGTTGGGACTATCAGTTATTTCAATTCTTCTGTTTTCATTTTGTTCAGTATCTATCAATACAATCTGCTTTTGCTTCTTTTTGCACATACTGTTTGCTCTGTGTTTGTGTTGTTGGTTGTGGAACTTTTGGATTGCAGGGGGTTTCCAATAGATTGGTATCAGAGCAGGTTCGAAAGACAACACACAAACGATCACACACGGGGAATGGTCAAATCGAAGATGGAGGGTAGGATGGAAAATATGGAAAAGGAGATGAAGTCTGTACAAGAGGATATAAGTTCAGTAAAAACAGATATGGGAAGCCTCAAGGAATATTTGACAGAGATGAGGGAATTAATGAGATTAAGAGAGGAGAGGGATGAGAAACGATACCATGAAAAATCGCACTCAAATTCCGAAAATACAGAGTCTGGGAATGATCTAGAACAGGGACAAGAAACAAATAGGGAAGGTGGGAAAGAAGAGAAGAAGGGCCGAAAACTAGAACTCCCGATTTTCAGTGGAGAAGACCCCTTCGGATGGACTTTTCGCGCTGACCGCTACTTTGCTATCAAACCAATTTTGGGGTCGTCAGAAATGGTTAGGCCGCGGCTGTCTGCAGTAGGGTAAGGCATTGAACGGGTCCAATGAGGGAAGGGAGGAACCTTTCAATCGTGGGATGAGTTCAAAGTTGCTCTAATCGCCAGATTCCGACCATCCTTCCAAGGCTCTGCGCATGAGCACTGGTGCGTTAAAACACACCCACCGTGATTGAATATAGGGAGGAGTTTGAATCACACACAGCACCATTGAAGGACTTAGGTGAAGAAATATTATGGAGTCTTTATTAACGGGCTCAGAAAAATAAGGGCTGAGTTAAGGGTGTTAAGGCCCAACTCTTTGCAAGAACTAATTGAACAGGCCCATTGTGTTGAAGAAAAAAACTGGGTCATAGATAAAGGTCGGCCCAAATCGTTTAAACCCAGGAACTAAGGAAAGCTACTCCAGATCTCTAGTAGCCCAGAATCAAGTCGGCCTATTGGTGGTCCAACCCAGCAAAGTCAATCAGCAACCCTGACCCGACCCGACCCGTCTGGTGGCCTACTCTTCAAAACCTCCAGATCCAAGCCAGAACCGTCGTTGCGCACACACAGGAAAGAGAGGACACCGGAAAACACTCACGCGAGTTTTCGAGGGGGATCTGGTGGAAATTTCTGGCGACTGTCCGAAGCTGACCTACAATACAAGAGAGAAAAGGACTTTGCTTCCGATGTGACGAAAAGTTCGGTCCAAATCACCGCTGTCGAGCAAATCCTTGCAGATCCTGTTGGTGTTGTGAAGACGAAACCGAGAAGAGTGAAATCCCACCAGAGGTTGACGAAAATCACAGCCAAGAGGGAAACGACTTGGTTCTGTCCATGAATTCCATCGTGGGCATATCGTCCGACAAACGAAAAGGTCAAGGTCAGATTATGGGTTCTGACATCGTGGTGTTGGTAACAGCGGCGCGTCACATATTTCATCTCTCTTGGAGTTGGTCAAGAGGTGGGTATTACGGTGGAACAGGGAAAAATGTTTGGGGTGATGGTGGGAAACAGAGTCACTGTAAAAGGCAAGGGGTGTGTCGACAGGTCATACTGGAGGTACAAGGAATTAAAATCAGGCAAGACTTCTTTCCATTTGAGCTAGGTGGAGCTGATATTGTCCTGGGTATAACTTGGTTGAGTTCCTTAGGGGATGTCTGTGCGAACTGGAAAAAATTGACGATGAGCTTTGAGCTGAATGGCGGCAGAGTCAATTTACAGGGGGATCCGTCTCTGGTAAAGTCGGGTATCTCATTAAAGTCAATGTTACGGACCATCAACAACAATGGGGGAGGGTTTCTGGTAAAATGTTGCTCCCTGGAAGAAAAATTCATAAACCCAAGGCCAACAACCAGTCCACAAATTCAGGCATTACTTGATCAATATCAACACCTTTTTGACCAACCGTCCAAATTTCCTCCACACCGTACCCATGACCACGCCATAAACCTGAAAGAAGGCGCACCAGCCCTTAACATCCGACCCTATAGGTATCCCTATTTTCAAAAAAATGAAATTGAAAAATTAGTGGAAGAAATGCTAGCTGCCCGTATTATCCAGCCTAGTACCAGTCCATTTGCCAGCCCGGTATTGTTAGTTAAGAAAAAAGATGGGAGTTAGAGATTTTGCGTCGATTACAGGGCCCTCAACAACATAACCATCCCTGACAAATTCCTAATCCCCACCATCGAAGAGTTGTTGGATGAATTGGCCGGGGCTACTATCTTCTCGAAACTCGACCTTCGATCCGGATACCACCAGATCAGAATAAAGGATGAAGATGTCCCCAAAACAGCCTTTCGAACACATGACGGTCATTATGAATTTTTGGTTATGCCGTTCGGTTTGACCAATGCTCCCTCAACGTTTCAGTCCTTAATGAACATCATTTTTAAACCAGTTCTGCGTAAGTTTGTGCTTGTGTTTTTTGACGATATTTTGATTTACAGCCCCGACTTGGAATCACACATCAGCCATCTACAGCAAGCTCTTATGATTCTGGATGATAATGATTTGGTTGGGAATTTTAAGAAATGTCTATTCGGGCAACAGAGGCTGGAGTATTTGGGGCATCTAATTTCGGCCAATGGGGTTGAAGCCGATCCGCAGAAAGTTGCTGCTATGGTTTCTTGGCCTACACCCACTAATGTGAAGAGCCTCCGTGGATTTTTGGGATTAACGGGGTACTATCGCAGGTTTGTAAAGGGGTACGGCAGCATCGCACAACCACTCACAAGATTATTGAAGAAAAATTCTTTTAGTTGGGATCAAGAGGCGCAACAAGCTTTTCTTGCCTTAAAAGACGCCATGACCTCAGTTCCTGTTTTGGCAGCCCCAGATTTCAACTCTTCATTCGAGATCCACACGGACGCATCAGGACAGGGGATGGGGGCTGTATTAGTTCAGAAAAGACGACCCATTGCTTATTTAAGTAAAGCCTTCTCCCCTCAAGCTAAACAAAAATCAGTTTACGAGAGAGAGTTAATGGCTGTCGTGTTCGCAGTGCACAAATGGAGCACGTACTTATTGGGGAGGAAATTCATCATTCGAACAGACCAGCGAAGCCTCCAATTCCTCAAGGATCAGCGGATTAAGACCCCAGAACAGCAGAAATGGGTGTCCAAATTGATGGGGTTTACATTTGATATCCATTATTGGCCGGGAACCACTAATAAGGTAGCTGATGCTTTATCGCGGCGAGAAGAGGAGCCAGAATTATCTTCCTTGACAGTGAGGCAGTTTGCAGAATATGAGGATTTAGCAACGGAAGCCCATCAGGATCCCAAGCTTCGACAGCTAATTCAAGATCTGGTTTTGGCACCCAACAGTCGACAGCACTACAAACTTCGCCATGGCTGCTTATTGTACAAGGATAGGTTGGTTCTACCCAAGGGTTCTCGCTTCATTCCGAAACTATTAACTGAATTTCACTCCAGCCCAACTGGTGGTCACTCAGGATTCTTCCGAACATATAAAAGAGTAGCCAACGTCGCGTATTGGGTAGGCATGAAGAAGGATATCCAGAATTTCGTTCAGACCTGTACCGTATGTCAAGTTAATAAACATTCAGCCTTGAAACCAGCTGGATTACTTCAGCCACTGCCGATACCAACTCAGACTTTTGATGACTTGACGATGGACTTCATTGGGGGTCTCCCACGGACCAAGGGGTTTGACACCATTCTAGTTGTGGTAGACCGATTAACTAAATATGGACATTTTATACTCTTGTCGCATCCTTATACCGCCAAGGAGGTAGCCTTAATATTCATAAAAGAGATAGTAAAGCTGCACGGGTTCCCTCAATCCATCATTGCTGACAGAGATAGACTTTTCATGAGTCAGTTTTGGCAAGAGATGTTCAGAGTTTCTGGCACAGCCTTGAAATTTAGTTCCGCTTACCACCCACAAACGGATGGTCAATCCGAAGTGGTAAACAGGTGTTTGGAGGCATACCTTCGCTGTTTTTGCAGCTCACAGCCCCGTCAATGGCCAACCTGGCTGCCATGGGTTGAATTTTGGTACAACACAACATATCATCGCTCCACCAAGATGACACCTTTCAAAGCCTTGTACGGCCGTGACCCCCCGATCCTTCTAAAGTTCACAGACTACCCCTCTCAGGTCAATGAAGTCAACCAACAGATCCATGAACGAAATGCCATCCTTCAGGACCTCAAACACAACCTGGAAGCAGCACAA